GCCAAGCGCCCCAGCAGGCACTGTGCTGGGCTTAGGAGCTACCACTGGATGATGTCATTGCCGTGACTCACACACCTCTCCTTCCATTCTTCCCTCACCCCATCCCCACTGTGGTCCTGGCCAGCTACTGTCAGAGAGAACCAGAGCTCCAAGTCTCCAGTTTGCCAAGATGAAGAAAATGAGTTCCCAAGAACGGAATGCTTTGCCTGAGGCCACACAACAGGCTGGTAGCAAGGATCTGGTCTAGCCAGGGCAGACCTCATCAGCTTGTGACAACCTTCCCCAGGACAGAAGTCGTACCAGGCCTCTGGGATTAATACAAAGAGGTTGTGCCCTGCTTTAAGGAACCTGCTATCAGGAAATCTAGATGTGTGCACAGAGAGAGAAAAGTAGAACAGTCTGCATTTGACTCCACTCACTAACAACCCCTCTAGAATACAGTGATGATTTTATTTAAAGAGATTGTATGCACATGTGGCTTTCCTGATTTCTGAGTCTATTTGGAGGTGTTACTGAGATGTGCCAGTGTGCAGAATCCTTGCTGGAGTTTCTATAGTCCCTGGCTTGAACGGTATTAAGTAAGAGGTGGACTCTAGCAATCCAGGAGCCCAGAATGAGCAAACAGGTACTTTCCAGCCCGTGTTTCAGGAGAGGGCTGTGCTGGATCATGCTTGGCCTCCACAGGGAATACAGCATCCTTAAAGCTTGCGTGCAATCAACCTCTTTTATAAATGGAAAATAAAGTCTGTTACCCAAAGGCCATGCTGATCCCCTGCTCCCTGCTTTCATTTGTGTTTGCTGACCTGTGGAGACCAGTCTTACTGACACACAGGAAAGCTCAACTTGCTTCCTGGCTCCTTCAGCAGGTGGATCCATTCTTTCACCCCAGATCTGACTCTAAAGAAGGCTGAAAAGTTTTGTCCAAATTGCCATGCATATATCTTGAATAGGACATTTGTGGGCCTTGTCTACTGGACTTTTCTCCCAAACAGGACAAGCCCAGGCAGGGCTGCATGGAGAGGAATGGAACCTGGAGCTAAAATTAATTGCCCACTCTCCCACCCTACCAGTGCAGCCCAGCAAGGGCAGGAATTGGGAGGCCTAGGGTGGGCGTGAAAGCTTGGGAAGCACTGTCATCTCTCAGACAGGGGTCATAAAGACCTCTGGACTGGAAGCTCAGGCTTGCAAGTGGATCCGGGACCGAGAGTATTCTCTTGGACAACCCCAGGAACTTGAACCAAGGCAGAGCCAATCTTGCAAACTGGCCACAGATGGGGAAATGCCCAGTAGCCAGCATGAGCCACACTGGGAAAGAGGAGGAGGGTGCAGCCAAACCTAAGGCACCCGCAAATGTGGTCAGCACTGGAGGAGGCCCTGCCAGTGGGGTGAGGCCAGTCAAGTCCCTGTGTTACGAATGGTGGGCCACGGGGCTGCCTGCTCAGTCCCAGTAGGACAAGCAGAGTTCCAGGCTGGCACCATGGTAGGCCTCCAGGGAAAGAGCGGGGAGGCAGGAAAGGCACACTGGGCAGGCTTGCCCATTCCTGGCCCTAAGAATGGAGCTGTAGCCTCATGGACAATAAACAGATGTGACTCCAAGGACTCTGTAGAGTCATTTTCCTCCTGCGCCTGAGCTCAGATATTCCGATCACATGATATAACAAAGAGCTTTACACTTTGACAGCCCTAGGTCTGAATTCTGGTTCTGCCATTAATTGTGACTTTGGGCAAGAGGTCAAGTCTCTCTGGGCCTCACTTTCCTCAATAACACAGGTGCAAAGTATGGTTGCAGAGAGGATGACAAGAGCTAATACATGTAAAGTGCCTAGCACCAGCTTTGTACCTACTTACACAAGCTCAGTAGACACTTGCTGTGACTGTGGCCCACATGCTAGAACACCATGTCTTGAAAGAGAGGACCCCCTCCATGCATCCTCACCCCCTGGGATGTTTCCACCCACCTATAGGTCCAGAAGCTTTTACTTCATGCTAGGAGAAGGGAGGAGAGTGGGTCTGGAGGGAAGTGGAGAACAGGGCAGTTGCCACAGCATCTGTGGCTTGTGCAGCCGGCAGCCTGCACTGAGATTCCAGGGGGTTAGGAACAATGAGATGTCTGTAAGAACCTGTGGAACTCTGTCCTCAAGCAGCTCTCACTCAGAATCCAGCTGGAGAAGCGTGTTCAGAGATGGGAAGGAACTACCATGCTCTGCTTCTCTAAGGATTTCGGCGATTCTGTCTTTAGGAACTAAAGGCTTTGAGGGAATCCAAGGCCAGTCCACCTGCCAGGGGTGTTGGCATCTGTTGACAGGCAGTGGCACATCCTGACAGTCTTCAAGGGCCTTGGCCACCAAGGGGTGGAGAGGGAGAATGGAGAAGATGCCACATGAGGAATGAGGCAGGAGACTGGCATGTGCCACATGGAGGACCCCTTAGGAGACTCACAAACAACCTGGGGAGGGGTTCTCTGAAGGTCCTAGTTTCCAGAATGAGGCGGTCATGGCTTAAGCTACCATCATTTGATCAGTAAAGGAGAGTAACAACAGGCTGATGTTGTGGACATCGGTTTGATGTTATAAAATCGTGCACACGCACTTCTTTTAAGGCCTGAATGAGGTTTGGTTATTTATTCATTTCTCAATAATTTACTCAGCCATTCCTAGGGTGACACATTTGGAGTATATCATCTGTGCCAGGCTCTCTTCTAGGTGTTAAGTGTACATCTCTAACAAGATAGAAGGAAAGAAGAAAAGAAAAAGAACAACATTCCTCTCTTAAATTGCCTGGGACTAGAGAGGCTTCATTTTAAAAGCAAGTAGCTCTGCTTACAAATGTTTCCTCAATCAAAGGCATTTACCTTGAACATGTATGCTCTAAGCTCTAAATAAATAAGCTTCTCAAGGGCATGACAACTACATCTGAAACTGTAGCATCTTTTCAACATGAATTAAACAGAATATGTGAAGGATATTAGCCTAGATATCATGTTATTACATATATATATTTATAAATATACACATGTGTGTAGTCCTACTAAGATCTAATATTCCAAATGGCCCTATGTGCTGAGTCACATTCAAAGAAAGCACAAACTGACGTAGATGCCTGAAATGATGGTAACATTTATTACTGTGACATTTACTGAGGGTTTACTATGTGCCAGCTATTGTTCTGAGAACTTTACATGTTTTTTTTAAAAAAAGCCTTGTATACTTATCAGAATAACCCTATGAGGTAAGGACTGTTATTATCCCCATTTTACAGGTGAGAAAACTAAGGTACTATTATTACTCTATTTTATAGGTGAGAAGACTAAGGTACATGAAAAGAGAGTAACTTCCCGGGTACAACAAAGCCAGTAAGAAAGCCAAAATTTAAGCCCAAGAAACCACATTCAAGTCAGGGTCTATTCTTGCATCCCCACTATGAAATTGCCTTATTCTTTTTTTTTTTTTTTTTTTTTTGAGACGGAGTCTCGCTCTGTAGCCCAGGCTGGAGTGCGGTGGCCGGATCTCAGCTCACTGCAAGCTCCGCCTTCCGGGTTCACGCCATTCTCCGGCCTCAGCCTCCCGAGTAGCTGGGACTACAGGCGCCCGCCACCTCACCCAGCTAGTTTTTTGTATTTCTTAGTAGAGACGGGGTTTCACCGTGTTAGCCAGGATGGTCTCGATCTCCTGACCTCGTGATCCACCCGTCTCGGCCTCCCAAAGTGCTGGGATTACAGGCTTGAGCCACCGCGCCCGGCCGAAATTGCCTTATTCAATCTGAGTAACATGAATCTTTACTTTAGGGTTTTTCAAGGGGCAGCGCAAGCATCTTAAAAAGTATCAGATTCTCAGAAATCCTCCCTAGACCATTTTCCCTCTCCCTAAATTTCCATGTTTACAGAAGCAGCTGAATACTGCCCTGCCCACCAACATGCTCCTGGCTCTCCCCCTGCACTGCTTTCTCCTCTTCCACAGCCCTTCCCTGCTCCTGACTCCTCTGTCTCATGTATACCACCAAGCCTCTTTTGCTTGGCATGAAGGTCAGAACATCCACTCTCACCTTCATGGTAGCCCAGGCCATTTCATGATGGCTGCACCCTCAAGATCCATAGACCACTGTATTAGCTCATTCTCATGCTGCTAATAAAGACATACCTGAGACTGGGTAATTTATAAAGGAAACAGGTTTAATTGACTCACAGTTCAGCATGACTGGGGAAAACTCAGGAAAGTTACAATCATGGTGGAAGGGGAAGCAAACATGTCCTTCTTCACATGGCGGCAGGAGAGAGAAGAATGAGAACTGAGTGAAAGGGGAAGCCCCTTATAAAACCATCAGATCTTGTGAGAACTTACTCACTATCATGAAAATGGCATGGGGGAAATGGCATGATATGTACAGATTTGGAAACTACAGTTGAAGATGAGATTTGGGCAGGGACACAGCCAAACCATATCAACCCCCCCTTGATGCTATGGAAGGAAGTACACAGAGGTTACGAGAAGTACAAGTTCTTTTCTTGCTCCAACCACTTTTCTTCAAAAATTTATCATAGCAAATTCCACATAAATAAATTCTCCACTACATTACATGTATGTGTGTGTTGTACACATGTGCATATCTAAATATGTATATGTCCATATAATTTAAAAATATATGTTCTTAAGAGTGATAATAACATTTTGGTTATGTTTTTTTAAAACTTCATCTGTTAGACCTCAAACTAGAACATTTACAGGTAAACTGGTGTGAAGCTTTGTATTTGTTTTAAAACACTCCAGTTAAGAAAACTGTTGAGGGCAAGGACAAGATTAAAAAAAGCTTGGAAAATATTAAAACTTGCTGAAGCTGACAGAAGAGGAGGAATGAGATTCTCTCTACTTTTGGCATGATTAAAAAATTTCTTTTAAAAGTGATTTTTGCCAGGTGTAATCCCAGTACTTGGGAGACTGAGATGGGAGGATAGCTTGAGGCCAGGAGTTTGGGACCAGCCCAGGCAACATAGTGAGACTCTGTCCTGAATTTTTTTTTAATTTAGAGTTTTTTTTTCTAGTGCCCAGAAGAACACAAATGAGTAGAACCTGAAGAAATGAGTGGACAATTAGTCTGAAAATGAGAGCCGTCTTCAATTTTTAAAAATTTATTGTAACTAACATTGATTATGAACACAATCCAGGTATTAGACGAGTGCAGTGGCCACAGTGAGGAAGGTCAGTCTTTGCCTGTAAATGTCTCACAACCGAGGGACACACTGTGCATACTCTCCTTTTCACCAGAGGTGTGAAGTCAAGGAAGGCTCTGTGGAAGACGTAATGTACACACTTAAGAGAGGCCTAAAAGGATGATGAGGAATGGGTAAAAGTCATGGGAAGGAGGAAACGTGTGATGTCACAACGAGGCTAGTTCATGTTTACACTCTTCGAAAGGCTTCCATGTGGCCAGTGAGGGAAACTGCAGGGAGACAGATGTGGATTAAATCCTGGGAATGGTCTCCCCTAGAAGGGCTGTTCAGAGGTGATGCTGGGGTTCTTGGGGCCCCTCCATTCCACATAGGTCCAGCTAAGAGGAAACGACCTCGTCTTATGGACTTCATAGGAGGGCTTGACACATTCACTAGGGGAAAGCAGTGGACATATGTGTGCTCTTCTTTCTGGGTATGGCCCTGCAGAGTCTGCTTTCTACCAGACCCAGGGCTACAGCCAATCCCCTGCACTTCCTTGGTGCTGATGGCACCAGCCTGCCCAGCAGCACCAAGGGCTGCTCACAGGGGAACAGATACCCACAAAAAGAGACTCCCATTACCCAACAGCTCTCATCACCCTGATGGGCAGCTCTTTTGAACATTTATGTGATCTCATTGGGAGTTTGTCATGAAGAGAGAGGGTCACACTTTATAAACAATGAAAGACATAAGAATACTGCAAAACAGACATTCAAGGAAACAACGGAATTGGAACCTCTTTTGAGTGGGGCTTCTGCCTCCTGCCAGATGCAGACTCTGGGCATATCATTGAACTGTCCAGGCTGCAGTTTCTTCATCTATAAAAAGTGGGTAGACATCTACCTTCCTTTACAGGATAATATATGTAAAATGTTATACGTCGATGTTACGTGTAAACATGCAAATGTTGGCCGGGCGCGGTGGCTCAAGCCTGTAATCCCAGCACTTTGGGAGGCCGAGACGGGTGGATCACAAGGTCAGGAGATCGAGACCAGCCTGGCTAATACGGTGAAACCCCGTCTCTACTAAAAAATACAAAAAACTAGCCGGGTGAGGTGGCGGGCGCCTGTAGTCCCAGCTACTCGGGAGGCTGAGGCAGGAGAATGGCGTAGACCAGGGAGGCGGAGCTTGCAGTGAGCTGAGATGCGGCCATTGCACTCCAGCCTGGGCGACAGAGCGAGACTCCGTCTCAAAAAAAAAAAAAAAAAAAAAAAAAAAACATGCAAATGTTATAAGGCTATGTATATGCAAAGAGTAATATTTAGCGGTTTCTAATCACCATGTATAATAAAATGATTAATTTGATAGGACAAATCTTCAATGACTTTAACTTTATGAAGATAATGACTATGTCCCCTTTATCATGAAGATAAAGACTGTGTTTCCCTTTTTACTCTTGAACCCCCTGTGTCAAGTTCAGTGCTTGGAACACAGTGGGTGCTCAATATATACTTGTTGGATAAATGGATGGAGCTGCTGCAGAGGGTTAGTTTCAGAGGCTTGAAGCCCAAGCCGTTTCCACCCCATGGCCTGGGTTGTTCAGCTGTTTTCTTCCATTCCTTCTTTCTCCTTGTCCCCCTCAGTGTCTATGTGCCCTTCACCATCATCACAGACAGCTGGATGTTCTCTAAAGGAGCCATCCCTGCACTGCGGGGCTGCAGGGGGGCAGCTGGGGGCTTTCCTGCAATGAAGACAGTAGCACAGGACCCACTTGCTGCAGCTGCAGGGGCCCTGGGCTGCCCAGGCATAGGCGCCCACAGGCACTGCAAGCAGTACCACACACAGGACCACTGTGACATGCAGGAGGTGCTCACGTGCCTCTAGCCCACCACCATCTCTGCCTGTTACAAAAACTACACACTGGCCCTGGTGTGGAGGCTGGTCCTCTAGGCTGAGGCAGGCTTTATATTTTGTGCCAGGAAGGAGGTTGTCCACAGCATAAGTATTGATTCCGGGGCCGATGTGAACCACCTCCTTCCTGAAGGCTTCATCTGATGCAATGTGGAGGGTGAACCACTCCTCCTCAGAGGTGTCAGCCACTGCAAGCCACTCCAGCAAAATCCCATGCACTGTCTGTTTGACAACCCGCAGGTCAATGTAGGCATTGCCCTCTGAGGGGATGGAAAGAGAATCAGGTGCATGTAGGGCCTGGGCAGGCTGGACATGGAGAGAGATTACAAGGGTGCTCTTGCCAATGGAGTTGGAGGCCATGCAGGTGTAATTACCACTGTCTACCAGGTGGGCAGCAGGTATGGCCAGCTCCGACAGAGCAGTGTCTTCTCCAGTAGAAGATGTCAACACTGGGTGGAAAGAAAAGGAAAACAGCTGTGCATTTATCTGATAGACTGCTGCAAAGTATCTAGCAATGCTAGTTTTTGTTTTGTTTTGCTTTGGTTTTTGTTGTTGTTGTTGTTGTTAAAAGATGGTGGTAACCTCTTATGAACCTTGTACCTGGTGTCAGGTGTTTGCCTCCCAGCAATCCTGTAAGATAAGTAACTGATTTTTACACATAGGATGTTGAGGATTGGAGCAATCCATCAACTTGCCCATAGTGAGAGGTGTTCAGAAGCAACAATTCGTCTGGGACCTGGCTCTTCAATCTATGAAGACCATACTCTTTCAACTTCACTAACTGCACCCACCAAACCACCTTTGCCTTCCTGAGCCATGGCTTTCAGGAGAGTTCTTGCAACTATGTGATTGTGTAATATTATGAGCTTCAAGAAGTACCTTCTTACCTTCCAAATGCACAGTTTCTCAGAACCTGGAGCCACATGCCTGGGCTCCTATCCCTAATGGAGCTCCTATCCTATCTGGTCCTGGGCAAGTTGCTTAAATTTTCTTGACATCAGTTTTCTTGTCAATAAAATGGGATGATAAGCAATCAACTACCTCATTAGTTTGAAGGTAAGTGTTCAGTCTTAGCTTATATTTTTATGGAGAGATTATATATAACATGTTGCCAAAGAGTGATTATAGAGCACCACAAAACACAACACCTGGATGCATTTCTTGGTTTTCAAAGAGGATACAACAATAAATCCCATATTTTTCTTTCATCGATATTGAATGTAAAACCAATAAGGTATCATCAAAACAATATAAAAATGTGAAAATTCAGTTAATTGGGTAGTTTTTGAACCATTCAGAGGTTTGTCATAATGTATAACAAATGTCTGGGCAAACGACTATATTTCCCAAGTTTTACCCAGCTATTCCTAGTTGTCTTCTAGACAGAGAACAGAAGACAGGACACGAGGAATGTACAAAGATTTTTCTTTTCAGCTTCGGGATACCCCCAAGGAGGTCATCCTTGGCTTTGTGATGTGCCCAACCCTACAGAGTAGCATGAAAGGTAATCCCAGCTGAGGTATGAAAACAGAGCACAGGGTTCCAGGAAAGAAGAGGCAGGTTTGAATTCCAGCCCTGGGGCCCACAGAAGTCACTTCCTTTCCCTGGGTCCCAGTATTACAAATTCAAGCCAATAAGGTCTGAACAATTTTATGTCAATGTTATTTCAAACAAGCACCCCAGGTGATTCAGTTCAGGCAAGTTAAGGAAATAAGTAATAGATCATCTCTAGAATCAGTCCTAATAAAAAATTCTAGAATTCTAAAATACATGGTCCAGTGTTTTGCATCTAGAAGATTCCCAAAGACTATATCTGCTCATGTAAAATTTTATATTATTTACATAAGATATTAAATTAGCCCTGAAATGTGTATTTACATAGGTGTATGTGTTCTAGAGAGATCTGTATGCAAACATTTAAAATAATGCCAATAATGGAACACTACCTTGGAATCTTTTCTGTTCTAGTGAGCATAATTCAGGGCTATCCCAGTCTTACTTGCACCCATCCTTCGTGATTGACCCAGCTTTGAACCTCTCTAATGAGGATGGGATTGCTACAGACCTCTCCATTCCCTCCAGATACACTGAGAGAGTGCATGTGGCTTACCATCAAATTCTCTCCACATACTCAGGGGATAAGTCCATGCAATGGATGGTGAGGGGCTGGCCTGTGCCAAGCATCGCAGGGTTACATTCTGTCCCACCCGGATGGTGACATTGGCACTGGGGGTTGAGATCTGTGGCTTCATGCAAGTACTAAGCTCAGTTTCATGAAAAAGCTGCCCTGCCTTGGAGAGAGGGCCCCGGCATATCAGGTAGGAATTCACCAGGATGACTGGGAGGGTAATGGACTTGACAAACTGGACAAGCCCCCTTAGGCGACAGTCACATACCCAGGGGTTGTCATGAAGCGCCACCACCAGGCTGGAGAGAATCCCGGCCCCACAGTCAGGTTGCCGGCGTTTCAGGTAGGCTGGCCAATTCAGGAAGACACTTCTGGATACAACTGTAAGCCTATTGGAGGATAGGTCAAGGTAGGTCAGGCTGACCAAGAATTGAAGAGCCAGCTCAGGGAGTGCATCAATCTTATTGCGTTTGAGATCCAAGACCCTCAGGAGAGGGGTGGCACGGAACGCTGTCCATGGTACTGAGCAGAGCCTATTCCCTTCGAGTCTCAGCTCCCTCAGTTCTGGCAGATGCTCCAGGGCTCCCAGGTGGATCACACTAATATTGTTAAAGTTGAGCCAAAGGTATTCCAAGGTGCTCATGTTGATGAAAGACCCTTGGGGCATCTCAAATAAGGGTGAGTTTTCAATTCTCACTTGCTTGAACTCTTCAGAAAGGTTCCCAGGGATCTTTCCCAAGGAGACAGATATGCACTGCAGAGTCCTGTATAAGAAACCAGAACAACTTTAAGACAAACAACAAGGAACTGGAAAGTGGGGTCAGGCTGATCCTGGCATTAGACATGTGAATCAGAATAAAAATATTATTATTCATTGAAATAAAAGGGTTAGACTCATTTTGGTAAAAATGCACAGTTCAGCAAAGTTCAGTCCCAACTAGAATGAGTCTCATAGAGATTTGCTGATTTCCTGCCAATTCTAAGCCTGCTTCCACTCCACATCATCCCCAAAGAAAACCCATTCCCCATAACCCTCTAACATCTGGCCAGCAGAGCGCACCTGCCAAAACTCTCCTCTGAACAAGTGCATCCTGGCAGACAGAAAGGCTGAGCTGCGTGTGTATCCAGAAAGACCAGAACTAACAGGAAGTGATGAAAAACTGAAGCCATATTTCTCTGTAAGAAAATACGTTGTGAGTTTTGAATAAGTATCGCCCCAGCTTCCGAGTGGCAAATCCTATTATTGGTAATCCATGGTGATGTAGGTCGCACAGCAGCAGGAAAGCTCCTGGGAGCTCTGAGGTCTGTTACAGCCCAGATCACAGGTTCAGTCAGAACACACGAAGGGGGATCAATGTCTCTTAACTAGCATCAGGAAATTCAACATTTGTGTGATTCTTGAGTCTGAAAAGTAAACTCCAAGTCAGATGTCCAATTCCATACAGATTCTACATTTCTCAGTGTCTTAAAAAGAAGTCTGAGAAACAAGCACGCAGTGCTATTCTGAGCACCACTGTTCAGGGGATTTGGCCAGAATCCATCTAATGCTTCATCATTTGCAGTTGATTCCTGAAACCTAGAATTTCCAATCATTTTCTCAAAGTGAAAATAGGTAATGAGTAACAAAGTAATTCTGTGTTCATTTCCATCATTTGTTCTCTTCCCAACCCCACGGGTGGTGTAGTCATGCTTCTACTGCATCAAGACAGCTGCCTCTGCAGCTTGTATCACCAGTTTCAAATACAAGATGGTATTTTCTGATTAAACCAAAATATTATTTTCTTGGACTTCACAACCTTTCCTTAATACTGTGTATTTCTCTTGGTCAGAATGAACAACCTACATTTTAAAAAGAGATATATGCAATTTTACATGCTTGCTCTTTCACTCTTCATTTATTCCACAAATATTTATTGGTCATTTGCTTTAAGCTATACTCTTGCTCAATGAAAGGAACAGGGTCGAGGGCAAACCTATTATAGACCCTGTCCCAAGGAGTCTTATCTCTTGCTTGTGCTTCTGAGTCTTGAGATCTTTGGAATGTAAAGTAATTTCTGTGATTCTCCTCTGCATAGTGAGAATAGTAACAAATACCTCATTATACTTCCAGGAATTTATTTTTCATTATTTTTTAATTTTTATATTTTTTCAGAGACGGGGTCTCACTCTGTTGCCCAGGCTGTTCTCAAACTTCTCAGTCTCCCAAGTAACTGGGATTACAGGTGTAAGCCACTATATCCAGCCATATTTTTAGAAAATTTTGAGATTATGTTAAATACAACACCTAGCACACAGTTGGTGCCCATGAATCCTCCTCCCACCGACAAACTCTTTAAGATCTGAAAAGTCTACATCCCTATTAACTAGGGCACTTCCAGTTGAATATTGAAATTCCATCAGTTCCTTTGAGACTCATGATATACATCGTACCCTACAAAAGGCCTCAGCAAAGAAAATCCGCTTAGCTAACCAGTGAGGGGGGAAATGGGTCACCAACTAAGCTGATTACACTCCAAGCTTTCCATCCAAGCCAGATATATTTGCAGGAGTTTCCAAAGAGTCTAACTCTAAAACCTGGCTGGATCACTGGAGTTTGTCTCAAGGTAAAAATCCAAAACAAAACGAGAGCTATCGGCACAAAGTTTGTCATACATATGGCAATGTGCTGCCTAGATCCCCCTTCAAGGGATGAGTGGATGCTTAGCTGCAAGGAGTGGTTGCATGAGGTCATGTTCTTCCCAAGGCAGCCACATCCCACATCCAGTGACTGAGGGTGGTGAGGGCCTGGCCAGTTTGCCCTGATGGGGGAAAACTCTGATGAGCAATTATCACTCCAAAGTACCCTACCAGATTTGCTAAGGCTTTGCCAGACTTGTTTCATGGAAATATGTGATTTAATTCATGACTATTCTAAACCACTAGTGGATTCTTTTCTCTCCCCTTACCCCAAAGCATAAAGATCTTAAGAGTTCTCCATTCCCCACAGTTTCCTGTCTTTCCTTCTCATGCCAGCCTTTCCAAATGAATCCAGCTCCATCCGACTTCCCAGAAGTCTGCAGGAAGCTCGTGAAGCACACCCACTGGCATGCTATCTCTAGAATCATCTAGGCCACTTCTCTACTGCCCCCTACTCCTTTCCTGACCCCCTTATTCTCTGGTTTCCTTATTTGGCATATGAACACAGGGAGTGGCTCTCTTGGAAACGGAGGCAGGAGACCAGGACAATTAAAGTTAGCGTGGGTCAAGTTATTTATGTTAAACAACCTGTGGTTAAGTGTAGTCTCTAAACTCAAGAGACCCTAACAAAAATGGCAAGAGGGTCTGGGAATATTATAACCCATCTTCCCTCTTGCAGGATGCTTTTCAGAACTAGGCTCTTAAAATTCTCCATAGAGACAGAGTCATGGGGGAGGAATTACTCTGTGTTCGTGAATTGCTTAGATATAAATGGCTTCAGGAAGGCAGCTCCCTGGCTTGTCTTAATAGAATCTTAATAGGAGAGTGTCCTGTCTATTCAATTGGAAAATGCCACTCACCTTCCCAATATTAGTAAAACACTGGGATACCTCAGACAGAGAACTGGGCATCCTATCAGGGAGCAGACATGCTGTACTCCCTTTCTCTAAAGCTAGGACTCTTTCCCACCCCCATCCTCTGCTGCTAGCATGTCTGAGATGCTGCCTCAGCTACCCACATTCTGAGGTATGCCTGTGGCAGACATACAAAAGATGACCTTTCAAAGCCTCCTTGAAATAGGTGGGCTACAAGACTCTTGATCTGGCTAATGAAATGTTACAAGAAATGAGGTTTGAAAAGCCCTAACCCGATCTTCCAATTTATCTTTTTCCTTATTGTGGCAATCACTGACATTCCAAATGGTAGAGCCTTCCCAGCCGTGTCCTTGAGTAAATAAGTGAAGCAGAGCCCTCCCTCCTTCTGCATTTCCCAAACTTAAGTAGAGTCTGTGGAACAGGAATACATTTTTCTGTGTTAAGCCGGGGACATTTGGGAATGGTTGCCTAAGCATAAATCTAACCTATCTTAACTACAATGCCCTTGTGAATAAATATGCTCAGGTACTTGTATGTTGATTTTTGTCCTTGTTAGATTATATGATAATCAAGAAAAAAATTTCCAGCTCTTGTCCTCTAGACAAACTGCTCACTGAATCCCTTGATTGATAGTCTAGGTTTGATAGGCCACATTCACTGTCCAGAGCACAATTTCTGTATTTGCCTTTTTGTGCCCAGCAACTACAATGGGCAAGTGACCTTGGACATATTCTCTGCTTAATCATGAAGACTATAACCTTGTTGCAGTCATAAAAAGAAATCATGAGGATGCTATGATTCCAACCAACCTCCAAACCAGGCTTCCAAGGCCAGCTATGCTGCGGCCTCACCATGGCCCAAATTGGTCTTCAGCATTGGAAGGCCAGAAATTCTTTTGCCAGGATACTCAGAGGGCATTCAATTTTCAGGGACTAACTCATACTCATCAGACTCACATACTAAAAGACTAAGGTAAGCCAGACATCGTTTTATTTTTTACAATAAGAATGTGTTTCTTCCCATGACTTGAATATTCATGGGCATAATCCAGGATGATTCTTCTCTACAAGAGCAAACCAGGGATGACAGGATACACAAAGGAAGGTTGACAGATGAGTATTGGGAGGCTTATCATCTTGGAGGCTGTATTAGTCCATTTTCATGCTGCTGGTAAAGACATACCCAAGAATGGGTAATTTATAAAGAAAAAGAGGTTTAGGGGACTCACAGTTCCACATGGCTGGAGAGACCTCACAATCATGGCAGAAGGCAAGGAGGAGCAAAGGCATGTCTTACATGGTGTCAGGCAAAAGGACTTGTGCAGAGGTACTTCCAGTTATAAAACCATCAAATCGCATGAGACTTATTCATTACCATGAGAACAGTATGGGGGAAACTGCCCCCATGATTCAATGATCTCCACCTGGCCCCACCCTTGATTCGTGGGGATTATTACAATTCAAGGTGAGATTTGGGTGGGGACACAGTCAAACCATATCAGAGGCCTTTCCGTACAGACCATGAAAATAGGTCCCAATAAACCATTGGATTGTTGGCAAGATTGAACTCTCTCTTTCTCTCTCTCTGTTAACATCAGATAAATACTACAGATTTCTTGCTTTTAAGTTCCTGATTTTTCTTCAAACAAGACTCAGTAAAACTGGCTACATGTTACTTGTCTTTAGGTCAATAACTATTCCATCATGATTGTTCACACAATCATTTAAAGGCAACGCCCTGATCACTTCAACAGACGACTGCTTTCATCTACTGTGTTTACATTTGTCCTAATTTTGGGGGTGTCTATCACTCTCATTTATCAAACAGTCAGAACTGAGTCTTGGGTCTCCAAAAACTCACCAGAAATGCCTTTCTAAATCTTCATAAGGGGTAAACAAACTACAGTCTCAGGGTCAAATCCAGCCTGTCAACTGTTTTTGTAAAAAGCGTCCTATTGGAAGACATCCATAACTACTAATTTACATATTGTCTATGGCTGCTTTTGCATCCCATCAGCAGAGTTAAGTAGTAGCAACAGAGCCTAAAATATTTACTATTTGCCTTTCTTTGCAGGAAAAAAGTTTGCTGGCTCCCAATGTATACAGTGTCTTTGTCATCTTTCAACAAAACCGCCTCTCTTACCAATGTCTATGGCCCACAAGTTATAGTCAGGTGCACCCTCCAGGTGGTGGCAGAAGATATCCAAGAATGGAAATTCCATGCTCATGTGCATAGGTGCTCTCATGGTTCTGATCCCAGGTTTCGGCGATTTTTAAAAAGTTAATTTCTGTAGTGAACCTGCTGTGGACCACACTGCAGGGACTGATACTGAATAAAGACCCTCAGCCTGATGAGAAAGTTGTCAGAGAACTGGATTCTGAAAGAGAATTCATCACTTCCTTGTATAAATCATTCAACTCTTTGGTCCTCGTCTGTAAAATCAAACAGCCCCACCTCCATAGTGGGTTGTCATGAGTATCACATGTGAGAAAACTGAGTGAAATATGTGGTAAGGTCTTTTGTAAATGTGAGGGGGAGTACAATAATTTTAGGAAGCACTGCATCACACTGGCTTATATCTAATAAATCACGTGACATAATACTTGCAAATACTTGGAGTT